TTAGGATGTGAAATACCGTTTTTAATCAGTTTTCTACAAGTACAGCCAAATTTACTAATCAAATCTTTGTATCTATGAAAGAACTTAGCAAAAGTTTTACGTAATTTATGGTAACGAAATTCTTGATTTAATAATTTACCAGTGATGCATTGATTACGTTCGTTAAAATCTATGACATCACTACACACACGGGCATAACGAACGAGTTGGGATATATATACACCGTATGATGGAGCCAAAGGAACATCGCCGTCTAAAAAAGGAAAATTAACAATAGGGAATGAAAAATCGTCTCTTTTGTCGTAAATTTTCGTATGGAGTTTTCCTTTAGAGATTGAAATGTCCAAATCCAGAAAAGGACAACTACTGTTGTTTATGTTAGATTTAGTTAAAGTAAGTTCTATTGGGTAAATTTCGGTAGTATATTTAGAGAACTCTGGATTATTTAACGAAAAAATATCATCTAGATAACGGAAGGTATTGTTGAATGTATCAACCAAATGTAACAATGACGTGTCTTTACTGAGTTTGGTCATAAACTGAGATTCATAGCAATACAGGAACAAATCTGCTATTAAAGGGGCGCAGTTAGTGCCCATAGGAATACCTACTACCTGTCAATACATTCTATCGCCGAAACGTACATATATGTTGTCCAGGAGAAAATTTAAAGCTTCAATCATATCTTCACATTTCCAGTAAGTGTATCTAGCATACTTTCCTTTTTCGTTACAGAAAAAGGCTTTAAACGAGTTACAGCAAATAAATTTGTAATGAGATTTTTCAAAAGACCATTTAATTAAATATGAAAACTTTTTCTTGATAAGATTGTGTGGAAGTGTAGTATAGAGAGTAGAAAAATCATAACTGTCAACAGAATTAAAAGGACCATCAAAAGCATGTATTTTATCTAAAACCTCTAAAGAATTTTTAACACTCCAAAAATAATTAATACCATTATTTTCATAAGCTTTATTACAAAAGTTAATAACAAGTTCTTTGAAAGTAGTAAGGGAGGTAGTTAGAAGCACTGATAGATTAGTAGTAGAACACTTACTAGATGCGGAGATGAAACGAAATTTAAAATGTTTTTTTGTGCAATTTAGGTAACCAGTACATAGTAGGGACTTTCAAATGTCAGAAGAGGCTTTTAGCTGGGTAGTGGCAGTTGTATGCTTGTTTACAATTTGACTCTCTGTGGAGCGTACGAACCTGAATGTAGAAGAACTGATAATTTCGTTTTGGAGAACTTCCGTGTAGTATATGCGTCACACCACCACTACATTATTTGCTGATTTGTCTGCCGGTACGAACACAAACCGCTTTGCGAGTACTTGGAGTTTATTTTTTATTCTGGAAATGGGAATATCATGGACCCTATTACTAATTTCAGAATTGTTTTCAAAATGAGATATACGAATATTAACAGTATACATAATATTATTCAAATAACTGTCTAGAGATTTTTTATCAGATTTTTCACGTTTACACCAATTTTTACAGTAGACAGACAGAGCGTCTTTAATGATCTGACGACACTGTTTCCAATCTATTTTAGATGGAGGACGATATTTCGGTCCTTTCTTAAGAAAAGTTATGACCTCACGGTCTTCAACGATGTTGAGGTCTCCTGTAAGGACATGACCATAGGGAACATATCTAAAACTAGATGTTTCACAATCTCAAGTGGAAGGAACATTATTTTCTATATTGACGTCTGATGTAACTGACGTATAATTAAAAATCAAACTTCTGCTGGGTTTTTTATAAGAATACGAAATAATAGGTGGTTCTATATTATCAAAATATGGAGGTATTTGGCTTTGGATGGTAGAGTCATTGAATATACTAGATAAGTTAATAAAATCAATACCTCTATTTATATATTTTAATTTAAGAAAATGCCGTTTATGATTTTCAGGTTTATCGATACTAGGAAATAGCCTATGATGACAAAAGGCTGTAATAATACGGGTGTATTCATACATATGACTGCTTCGATAAAATTAATATATTTCTTTCATGTCTTTAGGCAGGGTTGGATTATGTACATTAGAATTAAGACAGGTGTATGAAAAATGTCAAGTAGTCACAATTACGTTGTCAGTTCAAAGATGCAGGGATCCAGTTAGCCTATAAAACGTTTAAATGACGTGAGAAATCGGAGTATAGTAAAAGAGTATTTCTGGTAATGGAAATGATATGGATCAAACGTATTCCATAATAGCATTGAATAGCAGGTGCACAACTTCCACATACGGGCAATCGTCCTGTGATGTTTTAGGGATCTGGGTTGACAACTGTAGGAAGAGTTGATTACACAAAAGTTGTAGCCTCTATCATAAATTTTGCCGAAAAATGACTTAAGTCCCAAAGTGTAGAAAAATGAGAACAAATTGGTCAAACAATTCCATAATAGCAGGTGCACAACTTCCACATATGGGCAATCATCCTGTAATGTTTTAGGGATCTGGGTTGACAACTGTAGGAAAAAACATTTTATTTGTTGATCTTTACCTTTAACATGTTTAATAAAATTCAAACTTGAAAAAATCAATTGGCAAATTAAAAAGTTATTGTATAAATTTGAATAAATTGAAACGTATATTTTCAGGTCTTTTCAGGTCCAAGTTCAGGTCTTCAGTATAACCCATATTTCTGGTATAGATCTCTAAAATTCAAACACATAACAGTATAACCTCGTGACAGATATGATGTCAGAAAATGTAGTTTGAGTGGTTTTCTGAAACTCTTTGCAAAACCTAAAATATAAATATGGGTACGGCATGACATAAATTCTGACAACATTGTGGTTAAGTAACGGCACTGACATGTGATTGACTGTTGTATCAAACAAAAACAAGGTATGTATTATCAGTCAGGGGACTTACTTAAGAAATCACTGATTCAAATAACCTTTTTTCAGAAATGTTGGAAGTAAGAGTTGTCTTTCTTTAATAATCACCTATATAAGTAGTACAAATAAATCACTAGACTAAGTAATTTAATTTTATTGTAGCTTTATATATATAAAACTAATGATCCAGGGACTAATTATGTTGCTAAAATTATCAGAACCAACATCTGTTTGTATAGGATGACCGGTCATGTCAGGCAATGACCTTGTCTGAATCTGGGATAATGACATGAAAATCACTTGCTTAAGTATCATACCTCTAGTTCCTTAAAAAAAATCACTTCTTAAAGTATTATTATTTAAATTACCTCCACTAGTTTCAACACCCCCGAACAGTAAAATTTTGGTCGCGAACAGAAAAATTTAATTACATAATCTGTAAGATGAAACCTTGAAGTTTACAGGGAAAATACTCCCACTGCTGGGAAAAATCTGTTAAGAAAGTATCAGATCATTATTTAAAACTTTATTATATCATTTTTTTCAACAAATATAGAATTTACAGATGAATGATTGCATCAAAGGCATAAACCTTGCTACTTTAAAGAAGCAAAAGGTTCATTTTTTTTCAATTTTACTAATAATTAGATATAATCTAAACCTGTATGTTTAAAATTTTGGTAAAACTACAAAATCACAGAATTTCTAATTTGCTACTTAAACATGTTAAATGAGTGATTAATAAATCACTTATTTCAGTAATTCCCCTGACTGGTTATGCATGTAGGTGTGGGTAAGTATGAAGGGTTTTTTTTCTTGTGACCGACTCCTTACAACAGTCAGTAGAGGAGTTACAAACTATTGCTTCAGGTAAATTATGTGTTCCAATATTAGCGGTAGGTCTTTTCACCACCGAACACCACCGAACACATTAAAATACCATCTAACACACCTAAATATATTGTTTTCATCTATATTTATATATTTGACTTACCTTCTGAACGAGGATGAATATGTTTATACATATATATATACAAATTAATAAGAAATGATAACAAGAGAACCAAAAAGAACAGTCTTGCAAGGCTGTTGTCAGAACAGTACACTTTCAAGTCTAACATTTTTTTAAATATAATTATTGTGATAATTTCACATTAAATAAAATGATTTAACTTATTTGAACAATTTATTTCTAATAATTGAAAAGTAAAGACCATAAGATAATATACAATGAAAAACAGACAATGTAAATCCGGAAAAAATATTGCTGGATCCGGAAGCGTTTTTTTTTTATTTGATTCTCAACTTTAACATCACTTATGCACATAAAAATGTGAAAAACATGAGAATAGGATTAAATTTTACGTAATTTAATCGATTTTATTGTTTTATTGTGTAACATTACTGTTTTTTCAAGGGTTAGTGGTCTTTTTGGGTGTTCGGTGGTGTTCAGCAGTGTTCGGTGGTGAAAAGACAGACCCCAATATTTCTTCTAGTATGTATGTATGTATGTACTTCGAGATTCCGCCAGTTTAGACGCACCCCTTGATTGACTGCAAGGGTACAGCGGATCCATGTACACTCCCTAAGGATTAATGGAGATGTGTCCTTTACAATATTAACCCACCACCAGAACAATCCCCACCCCAATACCGCCCAAAGGGAGCGTGTAGGACACCGGGAAGTCTGTTATTATGGTGGAGGAAGCCGAAGTACTCGGAGAGAACCACGGGCTTCTCGGGGGGAACAGACAACCCGAAGAGATTTCAGAAGATTGATCTCCAGGTCAAGCTTGGAACAACTTTGACCTACCGAGGCCCCCAAAGTATCCAATTTAGTTTAAACTCCGGTCTGGATACCAGAGATGTGTGTGGGAGGGTGAAAATCACCCTACTGATGTACTGAAAATTCGACGTCTCGAGTGAGAATCGAACTCGGGACCTTCAGCACTGTAGCTATCAGTCTTAACCACTAGACCACGAACCCACACACTAGTTTGGCAGAAAAAAAACAGCGGTCTTTATGCTGCATTGGATATTTCTGTATTTTTGTTCGTGCATTTGGCACAACTATAGTTACAATTTATAATGATTTGTTAAGTTTAATACTGTAGTTTGACATCCTGTTACTGAGTGTTCATCACCTTTTATCCCGTCACATTCTCCAAATGCAACTACCACCTTATCATCATAAATTTTCAACATTAAATTGAGAGGATATGCAAATGTTTTCTCCAATTCTGGTCGACTATGATTATGGTCAAACTGGTATATTAAACCACCAGCCTTATTTATTATATATACACTAAATATTGCCATTGCTCAGTATTTTCAGTTCATCAGCTCATTTTCGCTTTCTATAATCAGGGGAAACAATCTTTGTTGTAATCGGTGATTAGGGACATTCCATACAATATGATTGTTTCCTGAGCGAACTACTTAAAATATATCTAAACCCCAAATGTTTTTAACAGCAACGCACCACAACTTTCTGCAAAAACAAAAGAACAACAAAATCTCGGAAAAGATACGTAAAAGCATATCAGTATTTTTCGGTACTTTTCTTTTTTATGCATATTTCAAAATGCAAAATGCCGAAGGAGGATTTTGAAAATGAATATCCTGGCCTGGTAAGAGCTGAGAGTAAATAATCTTGCTCAAGACAAGATGAAAATGATCCCCAAACAGAAAAATAAATGAGCAAATTGCTTTCAAATCGTATTCAAATCTCTTTCAAATCATGATTCTGCGATTTGTTAGTACCATTTGCTTGCGATTCATTAAACAAATCATAAACAAATCAGAATTTTCCAAATTCCCTAAAACTGATTTCTTTGTGATTTCTTTCTATTGTATGATTTGTAAGCAATTTGTTTCTGTTTTTGTGTGATTTCTTTATGATTTGTTTACTTAGAATATCGTATGAAATGATTTGAAAGAGATTTGTTAACTTTGTTAGCTAGAATGGTGTGATTTCGTTATGATTTGTTAACTTTGAATATAATATAAAATGATTTGTTAACTTTGTTAGCTATCTTGGTGTGATTCATTGATGATTTGCTACAATGAATAAAATATTAATGCATTTAAACTTTCTTTGTTTATCTATCTCTCTGACTTCCGGTTGAGGTCAAATTCAAATTTCAAATACTGTTCTATAATAACTGAACAAAGAAGGTTGCAAGATGAGGAGTTTTATTCAGTCTATGAAAGATAATGGTGGTAAGGAATCTCAGTTATTTATTTATAATTTCACATATTCAACTAATACTATTCAAAAGTTAATTAACCTTTAAAATTCAGAAACTGTGCATTTCAGTATCTCGTTATAATCATGATATTTTTGTGCTGTAAGGATTAATTTTCAAAAAAAAAATGTGTAAAAGATGTGTAAACAGATCAAAACATTCATTTCAAGACTAGCTTCCCGTGCCAGCAGACAAAATTCACTGGCAAGTTCAATGTTTTAATTGTTGTTTACTGACCAGGTCCCGGACAAAATGGACAAAGCTATAATACAATGTAGCAGATTTGGACCAAGACTAAGACCCATCACCTATTCGACATCATTCTACTAAGTACACGTGGTTGCCTATGTTTTTTTTTTTCAAATTTCGTTATAGTCAAATTCGGGAGAAAAGTAATAGAAACCTACACAGAGGGAACAATTCGTCCCTCATCGCAACCAAAGATAGTATTCCTTTTTACAATTAGAGGAGTAGCTATTAAAGGTAAAATGAAGACAATTGCGCTTCAAAGTTTGGGGTTTTCAGGGGCAGAACATATTTTTGATCTGGATGTAAATGATTTAATCTGTGAATTGATGATTGATGCCAATTTATTTACGATTTGCTTGGGGTAGGAATATATGATTTTCTTCTGATTTGTTAAAGATTTGATAACAATTTGTTAATAATTTCTTCATAATTTGAAAACAATTTGTTTATGATTTGCTTGAGGTAGGAATATGATTTACTTCTGATTTGTTAAAGATTTGATAACAATTTCTTTACAATTTCTTTACGATTAGAAAACAATTTGTTTGTGATTTGCTTGAAGTAGGAAAGCAATTAATTCTGATTTGTTAATGATTTCAAAACAATTTCTTCACAATTTGTTTATGATTTGCTTATGAATTGTAAGCAATTTGTTCGTGATTTGTTATTGTGATTTGTTAGCTCATTTGCATGTGAAATTTTATCACTTTCAAATCACAAAGAAATCATACGATTTGTTTATCATTTGTTACCATGATTTGTTCCTCAATTTTTTTTGTTTGGGTCGAATATTCTGTAACACAAATTGCAGGAAATAATTGCACACAAAATTGAAGATCAAAGAACAAAGTATGTGGAGCAACAGATTAATATTCCATCTCAAAAAATCCTCCTGCTCCGTCCTCCACCCAATAGATATCGAAAGGTCGTCCGTCCCCTAACAAAATGAAATGCATGTAGTTTCCACGAAACGCCTATCTTGCATAATATTTGTTCAACATTTAAAAGTTAAAGCGACATATTTTTTTTTTATTTTGCTTTCGGCGGGAGGGGAGGGTGGAGGGTAAAAGTAACAAATCATGCAATTGCCAAGACAGCAGAAATTGTTGAGAGTATTAAAAGAAATAAATAAAGTGAACTAGCTAGGACCGAACTGAGCACAATAGAAACAACTTAACATTTTAAGGATGTATACCTCTGAGGAGCCAAAAAATTCTAGAATAATACTTTTTTCTTAACCTGATTGTTGGGTTTATATGACTAAGAAAGTACTTGATGAAGAAAAAATCATTTGGTGGTGCATTTCCTTTTTTGCTACGGCCATTTCATAGTACCTAATTTTAATGATTTTACCATTTTTCATCAATTTTTACCCATTTTTGGGCTTTTATCATGAAAAAAATCACATTTTCACAATTAAAGGGTTTTTAATAATTTCACTTAAGATGAAGTTGACCAATCTGAATAAATTTAACTTTTAAAACTATAGGTAGGTGATAATATTAGAAAGTTTTATAAAATTTTGTTGTTTTTCCGTGTCAAATTGACCATGCTGATATTTTGTAAATTTGGGATTTTTCTCTTTTTTTAAAACAAAAAGCATATTATTTCAACTTCTTTGTTATGAATGATTAATAAAATACATATCAAATAAATTTGAAAAGAAAAATTGGATATGGGGTATACATATTTTTGGTAAAATCATTTCTTGTACCCCTCACCTATTTTCTCAACATTTTTGCTGATGAGACTGACTGGATTGGTTATAAAATTTGAACATTTTATTAATCAAAAACTACTTATTGTAAATACACAATTTTTTCACAGAGTTTAGTTTGATTATAATATTTTTTAAATTCATTGATATTTTCCACTTGTATCAAATGTTTTGGAAATAATTCCAGAACGAGATTTCAACGAGACTGAAACATCAGAAGAATACATCCTTAACTCGAGAGAGCGAATACGGAATTGTTGAACGGATGAACTCTATTATTCTGGAATCCGCCTAAAATGGTATGAACATATATTATAGACTCATTATAACTGACAAGAGGGGTTAACAAATCTCGCAATAAAAAGTTTAACAAGCCATTGTTTTAAAAATAATGCTGGGTAAAAAGGAAATGCATCTGTATCGCAAAAAGAACATACGAATATATATTAAGACGGGGGAACGTTAAGAGATATTGAACACATTGAAAAATAGTAAGGCGAAGGAATATTGAAAGATTAAAAAGGAGTGGGGGAGGGGGCTAAATCAGCAAATATGAAATTAATTCTGTTAAAATTTTGCAAAACGTTTTAAAAAAGTCTACACATATTTTTACAATATATGGAAAATTGAACCGATATCCTTTGAAAATCGATATTAAACTCCGTATAATTAATAACTAGACAACATTATTATCATTATTATGTGGATAGGCCGAAGAAAAACTTCCCGCAATTGTATATAAGTTTTCATTGCATAAATATATAAATCGGATATGATGCTGGTTAATAAAATAAAATGTAAAATACAAGGCATACTTGATGATTGTGTTTGTCATTTGTGTTGGATACCCAGTATTTTATAAGTGCTACATGGCTATATATACTATGTTTAAACAAAATCAAAAAGCATAAATTGGCTTTTGAGACTGGTAGATGGCAAAATATTCCAAGAGAAGATAGAAAGATTTTACTTAGTTTTAACCCTAGTTCGAGACATTGGAAATGAACTGCATTATATTTTAACAAGTTCTACCGTAAACAGTTATTGAGAAGTAAATATAGAAACCTGGGACTATTCTATAATAGTCCCAGTAGAAACCAACCAAAATCATTGAAATTAATGAACTGATAAACAACAACAAAATCTATATGATCTAAACAACTTGTGTAAATTAATAAGGTTAATTGATATGCATGTAGGTTTCCTAGGTTGTGTAAATTAATAAGGTTAATTGATATGCATGTAGGGTCTCCTAGGTAAACCATGTGCGTTACCCTTTTCAGTATTGTTAAAGCTATAGTAAGTTTTGTAAATTCCTCTGTCCTACTTTTGTATGTCGTTACATATGCATTATATATGTTATATATATAATAAGCATCTCTATTCCAATGCAATTCGGTTGGATGAGAAATAATGAAATATATATAACAGCAGCTGACTTCAACGGTATTGGTAGATATCTGAATAGACTTGGCCGTTTAACAATCTATTACTCTTTTATTTTCTCTAATCTTAATTATTGCACAGTCACCTGGCATTTTTGTAGTGAAAAACAGTTAATATGGAAAACATCCAAAAGAGAGCCTTGAGATTTGTTTATGAGATTATATATAATAGTTCATATGAAGATATTTTACACAAGTCAAAACTTCCACCTCTTCAAGTCAGAAAATTAAAAGCAATAGCTACAGAAACTTATAAAATTATACACAAAAAGAGTCCATCATGTCAATGCAATTAATACCTGCAAATAATTAATTGCTTTAATTTATATAGTTCTTTTCTGCTTAATGTGCTGTAACTGCTTATGTGTTTTAAACTACTTTATATGCTTTTAATAATGATTGCTTAATTACTTTTAATATTTCTGCATAGTATAACATAATTATAACTTCATGTCACGTTTGGCGCCTACAAATTTGTTTAACCCCAACACATTCTGCATATGCCTGTCCAAGTCAGGAGACTGTAATTCAGTGGTTGTCGTTTGCTGCTGTATACATGGTATATCATATTTGTTTTTCGTTCATTGTTTTGTACATAAATCAGTTAGTTTTCTCGTTTGACATGTTTTAATTCAATTTGTTTTACATTTGTCATTTTGGGACCTTTTATAGCTGACTATGCGGTATGGGTTTTGCCCATTGTTGAAGGCCGTATGGTGACCTATAGTTGTCATTTGCTTATTTTTATTTTCACGGTTTTAATGTTTTTTGACGATATAAAGCCCAATAGAGCTTATGTTTTCTGTGTTCGTCTATAAATAAAGCTTTTGAACTTGAACTTCAATCCGCAATAAAACCTTTGCCAAAGTAGGCGTCTGTTAGACATGTATGAAGTATTTGTCACTGAACGTAAAGCAATATGTAGCAGAGTGATTTTTATGATCATTTTATATATTGTAAAAATCATCTATTTAATTACTATATTTATCATAAAAGCTTAATTACATATTTTGAATATTGTATTTTAGTTTAAATTATTACTTTTATGTATAGTAGTATTCACTTTATTTCTATGAATATTCATTGGGGATTTACTTGAATCATTGTATCTGATTGGCTGTTAGTATTTTGTGGTCAAGTTTAATTTCCTTTGTTTTGTACCTAGTACATTTCCACGGGACGATAGCCATGACAGTTGATTGTATTTATGTCCCGATTACAATGACCATATAGATAGTTACCTGTATACCTTATTATTTTGGACACAACATAATTATTGAATACTGTAAGTTTACTTCTTTATTAAGGTTCATAAATAGTTTTTGACGTGTAAATACAGCCATATTTGTCCGTTTGTTATGATGAACCTTAACATGGTTATTTATATTTTTCACTTAAATAATATTCTAGTAAAGTTACGATTTTCTTGTATCGTTCTCCTCATATCGCATGCATGTTACACTAGTAAGAAAGATGTACATGAGAGTATTTTTATTAAGTTTCATCATAACAAACGAACAAATATGGCTGTATTTACACGTCAAAAACTACTTGAATACAGACTTACCTGTCCAGTTGGAAACGTTTTAAGGCCTGGCATCCACTAGATATATAAAAGTTAAATGCATTTTGTTTCAGAAAGATATAATCTTGTTTGGTTTTTGATGGGCATTTTTTTTCCTTTCTGCAGAAGGTGTAAAAATAAACAAACACCTGAATTACTTTGATACTTTCCACTCATTTAAACCCTTTAACTCACCTATAGTTGTGTAGATACCTGTTTTCCAGGTCAATCAAGGACAATCAATACAATACAATACAGTTTTTACCTGAGAGGGAGCATCTCAAAGTTGTATCACAACTTAGTTAATTTTTACACCTTCTGCATGAAGGACAAAAAATGCCCATCAAAATCCAAAAGAGATTGTATCTTTCTGAAACACAAAATGCATTTAACTTGTATATATCTAGTGGATGCCAGACATTAAAACTTTTCCAACTGGACAGGTAAGTCTGTACTAAGAGTAGATTTTGGCATGTAAATACAGCCATATTTGTCCGTTTGTTATGATGAACCTTGATCTACGGTTTATTTGCCACGGTAAAATTATATTGTTAATTTGCGTACATAACTATTTGATTATTGTCACGAATAGTCTATATTTTATAAATGGCGGCTTGTTAAACAAAAGACGGAAAAGTGTTTTCATTTATCAGGTTGGGAACAACTCCTCAAATGAGGGGTAACCCCTCAATGTAATGACTATCCCTTTTATGAGGGGTACATTTCAAGTGATAAAAATTTTTTTTTTTGTAAAAACCACTTTTTAGTACAAATGAGCACATATTTATATTATTTGAAGAAACTTTTCTCAAAGAACTATTATACATCTATCTGGTATTATATGGTCAAAACATGTCCAAGAATTTTGTAATATTCCTGGACATATATCTTCTTTATTATTAAAAATAATTAGACCCCTCTTTTAGAAAAGTTGTTCCAAATATAATGAATGTTCCCCCTTTTAAGTTAAAAAATCAAAGTTTTTCTTTTTTTCTTTTCTACAATAGTAAAATGACCCCTTGTCTGAGGGACAGTCCCTCATTTAAGGGATATCCCTCATTTTGGGTGTTGTTCCCAACCTGTTTATATAAAGTAATAGTTTTGTATTGAATAGTTTTTATAAAGTACAAATATGAATGAGTAAAGAATATTTGTCACATTGTACATTTTTATAATTTGAGTCCGAGTATTTATGTTTCATATTTTGGTTTCAGGACTCCAATTGATATACTTATATATAGAACACACGATTGTATGATGTGCTGTTAACCTTTACCAGTTAAACTCTCAGACAATAAGTACAATGCAATAAAACACACCAACTCACCTGATTCGGTCATCCTCAAAAATATAAAAAATGCAAAATATAAAAACAATTATATATACAAAATAAAGGATAAGGTCACCCCGGATGCAGCACAAATGCCAAGGCAACAAACTGGAAACCGGTAAGGACATATTTGGATTCCAAACCTAAATGCCCTGCTGTTTTCCTGGTAGAGAAAAGCCAAAAATCCTACTATAAAGGATCTAGTCGATTCTGGTCGATTCGGTCTTGGTTGTTTCGGCCATGTACCACTTCGGCCATGTGATAAAAGTCGTTTCCGTATTTTACTGATAAATGGCCTTAGTCTCTGATGCATGATTTTTTATTATTGTTTTGGCTTTTAACTAGATCTCAGTAACTGCGAGTACTCTCAAATCGTACTTTCTTTTTAATTTGACCTGTTGATACTATTTGTAATGCTTTTTTGTCGAGCCTGTGACTTTTGTCGCAGAAAGCTCGACATAGGGATAGTTATCCGGCGGCGGCGGCGGCGGCGGCGTTAGATAACTTCTTAAAAGCTTAGTATTGTAGAAGGTGGAAGACCTGGATGCTTCATACTTTGTATATAGATGCCTTATGTTATGAAGTTTCCGACTGTCACATGTCCATTGTCCATGATCTCATTTTCATGGTTCAGTGACTACTTGAAAAAAAAGTTAAGATTTTTTGTAATGTTAATTTCTCTCTTATAATGAGTAATATGATAACTATATTTGGTATGTGCGTACCTTGCAAGGTCCTCATGCCCGTCAGACAGTTTTCACTTGACCTCAACCTCATTTCATGGATCAGTGAACAAGGTTACGTTTTGGTGGTCAAGTCCATATCTCAGATACTAGAAGCAATAGGTCTAGTATATTCGGTGTATGGAAGGACTGTAAGGTGTACATGTCCAACTGGCAGGTGTCATCTGACCTTGACCTCATTTTCATGGTTCAGTGGTTATAGTTAAGTTTTTGTGTTTTGGTCTGTTTTTCTTATACTGTATGCAATAGGTCTAATATATTTGGTGTATGGAATGATTGTTAGGTGTACATGTCTAGCTCGCAGGTGTCTTCTGACCTTGACCTCATTTTCATGGTTCAGTGGTCAATGTTAAATTTTTGAGTTTCGGTCTATTTTTCTAATACTATATGTAATAGTTCAACTATATTTGGTGTGTGGAAATATTGTATGATGTACATGTCAGTTTGGCCGGTTTTATTTGACCTTGACCTCATTTTCACGGTTCATATCTCAGTGTTAAGTTTTTGTGTCTTGGTCTGGTTTTTCTATTACTATAAGCAGTAGGTCAACTATATTTGTTGTATGGAAGGATTGCAATCTGTACATGTCTGCCTGGCATGGTTCATCTGACCTTGACCTCATTTTCATGGTTCATTAGTCAATGTTTAGTTTTCTTGGTTAAGTCTGTATCTTAGAAACTATAAGCCATAGGTCAACTATATTTAGTGTATTGAATGATTATAAGTTGTACATGTATTTCTTGTTTGGTTTACATGACCTTGACCTCATTTTCTTGGATCATGTTAAGTTTATGTGATAGTTGTAGTAAAGCTTTATATTAAGAACTATCAACATAATATCAATGATTAGTAAAGAAGGCGAGACATTTCAGCGTGTGCACTCTTGTTGTTATTTAATGTAAACATGGATCTTGTCTATATACCAGCTTTGATTATTTGGTATTACTACAAATTTTCATTTCTTCGTACTATGAACATCAAAATTATTTCAATTTTCCTTAGATGCTGTTCTTGGACCTGTACAGGAAGTTTTATCTAGCACTAATTGTATAGTTTTATTGTTGATATTAACCCCATTGCACCCCATATGTACCAAGTGTTAGATTAGTTTTATTGATATTAAAAAAAATTTCTTGGTATTCCTAAACGGAAGATTTTATACACACAGAAGAAGAAGTATACTTAACAACAAAATTATTTTCTTTTACCTGTGTATAATATGACGCAGGTTTCTTCAAAAGTGATGATTTTCTGAAAAATTGTTTGACATTTCACAGTGATATCATATACTTTAACTTTGTTTAAACCTGTTTATTTACTTTTGACTTTAATTATTTATTCCTTGTAATTTTTTTTATTAACTGTGTATTTGCATTCAGGTGTCACAGGTCAAATTTATTCGTTCATTGTGTGTTAATTTACGTTTTTTGATTGAATTAAGCCTTCCAATTGATATTTTATAGTGTGTTTTTCTATGTTGTGATGTAATACTATTGTTTCAGAAAAGGGAGAAGGTTTGGTACCATTAAAACGTTTAATCCCGCTGCAAATGTTTGCACATGTCCTAAGTCAGGAATCTGATTACAGTGGTTGTCGTCTGTTTATGTAGTTCATACGTGTTTCTCGTTTCTCGTTTTTGTCGAGCCTGCGACATTTGTTGCAGAAAGCTCGCCATAGGGATAGTGATCCGGCGGCGGCGTTAGCTAACTTCTTAAAAGCTTTTTATTTTAGAAGGTGGAAGATCTGGATGCTTCATACTTTGTATATGGATGCCTCATGTTACGAAGTTTCCGTCAGTCACATGTCCAATGTCCTTGGCCTCATTTTCATGGTTCAGTGACTACTTGAAAAGAAAGTTAAGATTTTGGAAAGTTAACTATATTTGGTATGTGTGTACCTTGCAAGGTCCTCATGCCCGTCAGACAGTTTTCACTTGACCTCGACCTCATTTCATGGATCAGTGAACAAGGTTAAGTTTTGGTGGTCAAGTCCATATCTCAGATACTATAAACAATAGGTCTAGTATATTCGGTGTATGGAAGGACTGTAAGGTGTACATGTCCAACTGGCAGGTGTCATCTGATCTTGACCTCATTTTCATGGTTCAGTGGTTATAGTTAAGTTTTTGTGTTTTGGTCTGTTTTTCTTATACTGTATGTGTATGCAATAGGTCTACTATATTTGGTGTATGGAATGATTGTAAGGTGTACATGTCTAGGTGGCAGGTGTCATCTGACCTTGACCTCATTTTCATGGTTCAGTGGTCAAAGTTAAGTTTTTGAGTTTTGGTCTTTTTTTTCTAATACTATATGCAATAGTTCAACTATATTTGGTGTATAGAAATATTTTATGATCTATATGTCAGTCACGCAGGTTTTATTTGACCTTGACCTCATTTTCAAGGTTCATAGCTCAGTGTTAAGTTTTTGTAATTTGGTCTGATTTTCTTAAACTATAAGCAATAGGTCAACTATATTTGTTGTATGGAAGAATTGTTAGCTGTACATGCCTGCCTAGCATAGTTCATCTGACCTTGACCTCATTTTCATGGTTCATTGGTCAATGTTTAGTTTACTTGGTTAATGTTAAGTTTATGTGACAGTTACACTAAAGCTTTATATTTAAGACTATCAACATAATATCAATGATTAGTAAAGATGGCGAGATATTTCAGCGTGTGCACTCTTGTTATATAGATTAGACCGTTGGTTTTTCCGTTTGAATGGTTTTACACTTGTAATTTTTTGGGGCCCTTTATAGCTTGCTGTTTGGTGTGAGCCAATGCTCCGTGTTGAAGGCCGTACCTTGACCTATAATGGTTTACTTTTATAAATTGTAACTTGGATGGAGAGTTGTCTCATTGGCACTCATACCACATCTTCCTTTATCAGATTTTTCTTTACAGTTAACATTCAGATTAAGTCTGAGTTTAAAGTTTTTTTAGAAATCAATAACTTGTTCAAACCTACATGCATGACATGGAATTTTATGAAATTTGAACAGAAGCTTGTTTATGACCAAACTACATGTACAGTATCCAGAGCAAATTTTTGAAAATATTTATTTTCATTTTTCTGCTATTTACTGATATGTGGACTTAGTTTTTTTTTGTCGAGCCTGCGACTTTTGTCGCAGAAAGCTCGACATAAGGATAGTGATCCGGCTACGGCGGCGGCGGCGGCGTTAGCTAACTTCTTAAAAGCTTTATATTTAAGAAGGTGGAAGATCTGGATGCTTCATACTTTGTATATGGATGCCTCATGTTACGGAGTTTCCGTTAGTCACATGTCCAATGTCCTTGACCTCATTTTCATGGTTCAGTGACTACTTGAAAACAAAGTTAAGATTTTTTGTAATGTTAAATTCTCTCTTATTATAAGTAATAGGATAACTATATTTGGTATGTGTGTACCTTGCAAGGTCCTCATGCCTGTCAGACAGTTTTCACTTGACCTCAACCTCATTTCATGGATCAGTGAACAAGGTTAAGTTTTGGTGGTCAAGTCCATATCTCAGATACTATAAGCAATAGGTCTAGTATATTCGGCGTATGGAAGGACTGTAAGGTGTACATGTCCAACTGGCAGGTGTCATCTGATCTTGACCTCATTTTCATGGTTCAGTGGTTATAGTTAAGTTTTTGTGTTTTGGTCTGTTTTTCTTATACTGTATGCAATAGGTCTACTATATTTGGTGTATGGAATGATTGTAAGGTGTACATGTCTAGCTGGCAGGTGTCATCTGACCATGACCTCATTTTCATGGTTCAGTGGTCAAAGTTAAGTTTTTGAGTTTTGGTCTTTTTTTCTAATACTATATGCAATAGTTCAACTATATTTGGTGTATGGAAATATTTTATGATCTATATGTCAGTCACGCAGGTTTTATTTGACCTTGACCTCATTTTCAAGGTTCATTGCTCAGTGTTAAATTTTTGTGTTTTGGTCTGTTTTTCTTAAACTATAAGCAATAGGTCAACTATATTTGTTGTATGGAAGAATTGTTAGCTGTACATGCCTGCCTAGCATGGTTCATCTGACCTTGACCTCATTTTCATGGTTCATTGGTCAATGTTTAGTTTACTTGGTTAATGTTAAGTTTATGTGACAGTTGTAATAAAGCTTTATATTTAGGACTATCAACATAATATCAATGATTAGTAAAGAAGGCGAGACATTTTAGCGTGTGCACTCTTGTTTTACATTTCACAAGTAGATAGAGTCCAGGGTTAAAGTTTGTTTCACATCAATTACTTTGTCAAACTGGTATAGAGTGTTTTGAAACTTTGGCAGAAGCTTTTTGTCTTGCCTTGACGGAGTCAAAAAGCGAGACATAGGTATGCTGTTTCCGGCGACGTCGGCGGCATCAACAATGTATTAGTTTGTGATTAGGTCTAGTTTAAGGTGAATCACTAGTGGTTGATCAGTGATATTTGGTATGCAGTTCTATTAGCACTGGTACATCTCATTTCCATAGAAATTATTTGGCCCTGCCGCCTCAGTCATGGTCTATTGACTTTGAAATTTTTGCTTAGTTTACATGTATTAGTTTGTGATTAGGTCAGTTTATGGGGAACCACTAGTGGTAAGTCAATGATATTTGGTATGCAGTTGTATAAGCATTGGCATATCTCATTTCCATGGAAATTATTTGGCTCCGCCCCCTCTGTCATGGTCTATTGACTTTGAAACTTTTGTTTAGTTTACATGTATTAGTTTGTGATTAGGTCAGTTTAAGGGGAACCACTAGTGTTAAGTCAATGATATTTGGTATGCAGTTGTATAAGCATTGGCATATCTCATTTCCATGGAGAATATTTGGTCCCATCCCCGCAGTCATGGCTATTGACTTTGAAACTTTTGCTTAGTTGACATGTATTAGTTTGTGAGTAGGTCAGTTCAAGGGGAACCATTAGTGGTAGGCCAATGTTAATTGGTATGCAATTGTATAAGCATTAGCACATCTCATTTCCATGGAGAATATTTGGTCCCGCCCCCTCAGTCATGGTCTATTGACTTTGAAACTTTTGCTTAGTTTACATGTATTAGTTTGTGATTAGATCAGTTTAAGATGAACCGCTAATGTTAAGTCAATGATATATGGTATGCAAATTTATTGGCATTTGAAAGTCTCGTTTCCATGGAGATTATATAGCCCCACCCCCTCATCATGGTTCATTGAGTTTGAAACTTTTACATTATTTAAAAGTCAATGTTTGTGTTTAGGTTTGTTGAAAGGGAACGACTTATGATAAGTCTATGGTATTTGGTATGCAGTTGTGTTAGCATTGGCACAACTCATTTCCATGGAGATTGTTTTGCCATGTACCTTCAGTCATGGTTCATTGACTTTGACATGTTTGAATATTTGCATAACTTACATGTTAAAGTATTGCTATTTTAATTTCAACATTTGCATTATCAAAAGTACAAAAAGGCGAGACATATCTCTGTGTTAACAGTTTATTAATGATTAAGAGATAATGTTTGAAGCAAACCTTTGAAAAGATTTTTTTTTTACATTTTTAGTAATTTTCTGAAATATGTCAAACTTCAGTTTTTACAGTTAACATTTACAGACAGTCTGGGATTAAATTTTTTTAACATGATACATTTGTAAACCTTCATGGATTGTTATGAAAATTGGACAAAAGCTAATTTTCAAGACCAAGAAATAGCATCTAAAAAAAAGTTTGAATTTGTTTTTTAAATTCTGTATTTTACTGATAAATGGATTCACTTTTTAAGTCAACATAACACTTTTACACTGACAGCAGCAATCGCAGGCGAGACACACGGTTCTGTGGAACCCCTTAAAAAATTTTTGAAATAGTTTTCTGATGATGTTTTGATGATCAACTTTGTTAAGCACACTAACCACGGGATCATATAATGCTGTAAAATCAACAATACTTATACATTGAAATATATTTGTCATGTTTGTAGTAGCTTAGTACAATACATTTGTTCTGGATTTAGAAATAATAATGCAAAATATAAATAATAAGTAATGGTTATAAGTAACTAGACAAAGGCATGTTTAGAAATGTATTGAATGTCTTTTTATTTAAAAATAAATATTACAATACAAATTTGATTTGCAGATGGAGTTACCAGACAGAAATACAGATTATCGTGACAAGTCATATTGGGATGAACGTTATTCTAAAGAAAAAGCTTTCGACTGGTTTTCTGATTATGAAGCATTCAAACATTTACTGAAAGATGACATTAAAACAGCTGACAACATTCTTATATTAGGTGAGGATGTGATTCTTATTCATTTGCTATATGAAAAATGGAGAAGATAAAAAGGGGCAATTATTTGTCAAAGAAGAACATACAAAACCATTGCCAAAAGAAAACAGACATACAGACAAACAACAATCTTAAAAAGACCATACAAAAAACAAAAGAATCGACACTTGAACCTCCACCAAAACAGGAGGTTAACTCAGTTTTCCTGATAGGGTCAGCAGTTCCTGCTCCATTAGTGACTCCTGTTATCCGTTTGTTTCTTACATTATGAAGACTGTTACATACATGTATGTGTGCACACATGCACACATGCACACATCTAAATCCTTATAAACACACACACACTTGCATCATCTACATTTACTCCACTATGAAAACAAATAAAACAATTATTCAGTCATTCTTAAATTTTTATATACCTTTTTACGGGAAGTATTATGGTATAACATTGTCCGTCAGTCTGTCAGTATGTCCGTCCGTCCATCGTCAACATGTCGGACAATAACTCAAAAACGCTTTAACCAAATTTCATGAAACTGTGGTGAATTTTTTAAATATCTATTGACGTAAGCTCCCTTTCGATTTTTATAAATTTTAGATTTTACGTTTCCGAGTTATGGGATTTTATTCATAAAAAAGGGGGGATTTTCCAGTTTTCAGACAATAACTCAAAAATGCTTTGAGCAGTTTTCATGAAACTTTTTGTGACTGGTTTATATCTTTTAAAATAACCTCCCTTTTGTTTTTTTATAAATTTCTGATATGACATTGAGGAGACCGGGAACTTTATTCATTGAAAAAGCAACAGGCGTATCATGCGCTCATGGTGCAGCTCTTTATTGACATTTGAGTTGAACTTGAAATAATTTTATTTAAATGAATAGCCAATTTTAATGACCTTATTTTATTATTTATATGTTTATGTACATAGGTTGTGGCAACAGTTTAATGAGTGAACAAATGTACCAAGATGGCTTCTTGGATATCACTAATACAGATTATTCTCCGGTTGTTATTGAGAACATGAGGAACAAATGCCAACATAAGTATCCCGGCATGTCATGGGAAGTTATGGACATTCTCAATATGACCTATGAACCAGAAACATTTGATGTGGTTTTAGAGAAAGGGACACTTGATGCTTTAATGGTTCATGAAAAAGATCCATGGAATATAAGTGAAGAGACAGAGAAAGCAATCGAAAATGTGCTACATCAGGTACAAATATTATAATTAAAGCATGTCAGTGGTTGAATTATGAAAACAAAATCTTATGTTCCATCTTTACTAATTTTCTGTATGGTCCTAATTTGGAAACAGAAGACCATTTAGAACAATTTTTTTTCAAGAATACAGAAAAAAAAATACATCTGTGGCTTACTTTAAAATAATAATTAACATGTTACCTTTAACTATTAAAACAAATTATAAAAATATAGGTGACTATTATCACAAGGTAACAAATGTTGTTAGCAACGTTTACATTAGATCTATGAACAAGTTATAATGGAAAATTTTTGTTTAGAATTCTGCAATTTCCTACAATTTTTATGAATCTTAGATGCATTGTTTGAAAAAATCATAAGAAATTCTACAAATTCCTATGATATATGGCATGTTTGTTTTGAATATAAGATTGGTTGATTGATTGATTGGTGGTTAACGACACTTTCAGCACTATTGTGCTATTTCGTGGCGGTCAGTTTTTACTGGTGGAGGAAGTGGGAGTGCCGAGAGAGAACCTCTGACTTTCGGTAGGAAAACTGACAATCCTAGTCAATTAAAATTGGAGTTGAAAGCACTTGCCACGTGTGGGATTCAAACTCACGACCTCACTGTTGACATGGAATTTAAGAAATATAGATTCTACCACTGCATCTAGTGTGATTTACTGTCATTTGAAAATTTTTTGCATGCATACGTTATTGTGATTGTTGGATAAAGGACAAAAATACTAGTATTATAGAGATAAATTATTATGATTTTAGGAAATCCAGCAAACAAATAATGCAATGCAAAATTAAAAAGCAATTTTTCGTTTTTTCTGAAATTTATCCTGTCGATTTTGAAAATAATAAAAAAACATCCCAAACATTGCTGAATTTACTGCAAAGATAATCTTCTCAGTACAGTTAAAATTCCGAATTTATAACGTGAGGCTTGGCGGCCTAGCCTTTTAAAAATTTCAATTTTATCCTTTGAGATTTATTGTATTGCTCTGTTGAGGAATTTATTTCTCTAATGATGATTTAACAATATGTAAATAAAATTTTCTTTTTTCAAAAATATCCTGATTTTTCTATGTTTGCCTATTTTTGTGATGTATCAATAGCAAATTAAAGGAAAACAACAAAATAATGACGAATTTTGACCAATGAAGATAAGTCAGTCAAACCACACTTTGATTATAAAAATATAATCAACTATTCTGGGAAAATATAAATCTGCTAGAATATTCTAAGAATTATTTATTGAAAATTATAGCTGTGCTTCATATGTATATCATCTTAGTGGACTTCTAAAAATAAAAATAATCAGGTCAAACAACAGTCTATAAAACATTGCATATACTAACGAACCCCATCAAAGACCAGGGTAGGTAGATCCTGCTCCACATGTGAGGGGGGTGTTGGTTAGGAGGGGTCCTGATCCCGAAATCCCGGGCTTAAAAACATGGAATCCCGAGGTCCCGAATTTCAAAAAATTTAAATCCCAACATCCGGAAATTCGAAAATAGAATTCCCCGATCCCGAAAGGATCAATCCCGAAATCCCGAGCTTAAAAACACCCGATCCCGGAGTCCCGATAAAGGTCCTACCCCCCTCACATGTGGAACCTGTTGTGCATCAATAAACATTTATTTATTAATTTTTTTATATATTTAAATCAACACAGAGTTGCATTGTACTGTTTCTCACGTTTCCAAGGCAACATTGAGGATGTTAGTTTATGATGTCAACACATTCTCAATCTTTAAAACCCCATCTCAGACAAGAAGCTTAAGATGGAAAATTATTACTCAAAAAGATTCTTCTAGAAGGTTTATGAAAATAGCCATAATAACACAAACTTACTGACCACTAAGAATATTTTGATAAAAAATGTTTATTATATTTTAGGTTCGGACAGTGTTAAAGGCAGATGGAAAATTCATATCAGTAACTTTTGCACAGCCTCATTTTCGGAAACCACACTATGCAAGAAAAATATTTGATTGGTCAGTGGAGCAAAAACATTTTGGACAAAATTTTCATTATTATTATTATGTGATGCTGAAAGATTCTAATTTGTCAGTGGAAGATATTAGAAAGGAAAATGAAAGGACTGCAAAAAGGTTAAAAAATAGGACTGAAGAAGACAGAACTATTAAATATCTTGAGTATGAAGATAATGCAAACTTTTTAAATGGGATTGAACTTTGATTTTATCTCATTATTTATTTTGTAAATAAAGTCATCCTGAAAAACATTTGATTAATTTCATTCATTCATTAATTACCAGAACGTATGACTCACTGCTTCAAGTAAGATACATGTATGTAATTTTTAAAAATGTTCTCTTTAATAATTACACTTTTGACATCAGTTACACAGGCCTCTTTATTTGTACTTTTTATGACATTGCTGTATGAAGATGAATAACAAAAAAGATTTCAATATAATCCAACAGTGACCCTAAACACCATGAAACACAAAAAGACTTCTATAGCTAGATGGAAATATCTAGCTTACAGGTGTCACACCACCAATTCCATATCATATACCTTCAAACAAAATTTACACAGTTCTCTAAATACCTTAAGTTTAACTTCATGAAAACCATGTTTATCCTGAATTGTACATTTTAACTTTTAATCACCTTTCCACGTGCACATGCAAATTATCAACCACTATTTAAAGTCTTGTAGTGACACATACCATTATTTAAGTCATGTATATGTGCTACTAAAAACAAAACTAGTTTTCTGAAAATCTAAGTAAATTTGGTAGCAAAATAGTCAAAATATATTTCTCATTCAGCAAAAGTTTCATTCATGTCTCTTCAGTTGCTAGTTTGGCATCACTGAAGAGTCACATTCATTGTCGTAAAAGTTGGTGTAGTAATATTGGTACAATTAATGTTATAAAGAAAATATCAGCATTAAAAGAACTATTATTTCTTAGAGCTTCTTTGACATATATGTTCTCAATGTGATTGAGTTAATTTTTTTTTGTGGCACCTTCAGCGAAAGACAAGTATCTAAACCATATATGTAAAAAAAGAAGATGTGGTATGATTGCCAATGAGACAACTCTCCACAAGAGACCAAATGACACAGAAATTAACAACTTTAGGTCACCGTACAGCCTTCAACAATGAGTAAAACCCATACCGCATAGTCAGCTATAAAAGGCCCTGAAATGACAAATGTAAAACAATTCAAACGAGAAAACTAACGGCCTGATTAATGTACAAAACAAATAAGATATACAGCAACAAATGAAAACCACCGAATTGCAGGCTCCTGACTTGGGACAGACACAAATGTCAAGCTGTTAAAATGCTGAGTCTAGACCAGATGTTAATTAACCAATGATCTGCTTTCAATATTGAATTATGGAATGGGCTTAAACATAAAGATATAAACAAAGAAAACCATTGATAACATTACACACTTTGAAAAGATACATTAATATATGACGTACAGTAATGAAATATTTCCTTTCAATCTCAAAATAGTGCATGGTGAAATATTTTGTTAGTTAAATAAAAATAGTTTTGCACATGTAAACATTGATTTAATGAAAGGTATACATTTTAATCACAATCATATCAACATTATCAAATTTTAAATAGGTTTTCATATTGTGATTTAAACATGTTAAACAAAAGTAAGCTATCTGTAAACTTTGAAATTTGTCAGACTGACATTTTCAAACATTGATAGAAAAGGTCTCATATTTTATGATTTGAAACAGAATAACAAACAAAAAGTGGAAAAGGAATAAAATACAAAAACAAAAAGGTACTCTACCCACTTTAAATTCTAAAGACCCATCACTTATAAAAAGAAACATAAGAGCTTTAGGTATTACCCTCATTCTCCTGTCTTTTTAGCTTCTTTTTGTAGTTTATAATATTGGTTGTTGACCAATTCTTTGTTTTGTGAAAGATAGAGTTGTTTTAAATATTCCACTTCTCATTGGACTTTCAAAATTGAGATAAAATATGAAGTTTTGAAACAGTCCAACAACAAAAATATATGGGCTCTATTCAAACAATTTAATACAATTATACATGAATACCCTGTAAAAAGTAATAATGTCACACAAATGCTAATAAATGAAAAGCTGCATTCAAATTGAGACGGGTAACATATTTACCGTAAATTTAGAAATTATTCGAGGTGTTTATTATTGCGACAAATGCGACAGAGTTGTAAATGCAATAATTTAAACTCGCATTTTAAAATATTTTATATGAACTAAACAGGATTTTTCTCAAAATAGTAAAAATTAAAATCGCATGTAAGTCTAAACTGACAAAATCACAATGATAAATGCACGCAATAATTTCTGAATTTACAGTACTCTTACAATAAATTTAGCACTATCAGAAGACTAGTCTCATTCGAATTTGTATCAATGCACATTACATTTCCCTTCCTTTCACTATTGAGTGTGTTTAACACAATCCTTTTATCCACACACTTTCTTTCAAGGGGAATTAGATCTGAAAGGAATCTGACATTCCTCCATATTAACACTCTTGACTCCTAGTTGCTCATGCCAATTATCTCGACTCAGATCAGCAGGACGATATTTTTATCTGGAATTAAAATATTTCTTTTCTCATCATTGTTACATTGAATTTTAACAGTTGTCCTATTAAATATCTTTTACTTATTGTTACATTGAATTTTAACAGTTGTCCTATTAAATATCTTTTACTTATTGTAACATTGAAATTTAACAGTTGTCCTATCAAATATCTTTTACTTATTGTTACTTTGAATTTTAACAGTTGTCCTATTAAATATCTTTTACTTCTTGTTACTTTGAATTTTATCAGTTGTCCTATTAAATATCTTTTACTTATTGTTACATTGAATTTTATCAGTTGTCATATTAAATATCTTTTACTTATTGTTACATTGAATTTTATCAGTTGTCATATTAAATATCTTTTACTTATTGTTACATTGAATTATATCAGTTGTCCTATTAAATATCTTTTACTTATTGTAACATTGAAATTTAACAGTTGTCCTATCAAATATCTTTTACTTATTGTTACTTTGAATTTTAACAGTTGTCCTATTAAATATCTTTTACTTCTTGTTACTTTGAATTTTATCAGTTGTCATATTAAATATCTTTTACTTATTGTTACATTGAATTTTATCAGTTGTCATATTAAATATCTTTTACTTATTGTTACATTGAATTTTATCAGTTGTCATATTAAATATCTTTTACTTATTGTTACATTGAATTTTATCAGTTGTCATATTAAATATCTTTTCCTTTTTTGTGTTATCAGATTTCTTAACAAACATCTAAAAGAATAAACAAAAAGAGCACTTCAACAGAAATTTTCGACTTATTATATTATAGATTTATATCCATTTGTTCCTATTAATTATCAATTTCTATCATTTCTTGTAACCAGTATAATTAATTTGAGTTAAGCGATACCTGTGAATCTTGTTTGTTCTGTAATTTGAGTTAAGCAATACCTGTGAATCTTGTTTGTTCTGTAATTTGAGTTAAGCGATACCTGTGAATCTTGTTTGTTCTGTAATTTGAGTTAAGCGATATCTGTGAATCTTGTTTGTTCTGTAATTTGAGTTAAGCGATACCTGTGAATCTTGTTTGTTCTGTAATTTGAGTTAAGTGATACCTGTGAATCTTGTTTGTTCTGTAATTTGAGTTAAGCGATACCTGTGAATCTTGTTTGTTCTGTAATTTGAGTTAAGCGATACCTGTGAATCTTGTTTGTTCTGTAATTTGAGTGATACCTGTGAATCTTGTTTGTTCTGTAATTTGAGTTAAGCGATACCTGTGAATCTTGTTTGTTCTGTAATTTGAGTTAAGCGATATCTGTGAATCTTGTTTGTTTTGTAATTTGAGTTAAGCGATACCTGTGAATCTTGTTTGTTCTGTAATTTGAGTTAAGCGATATCTGTGAATCTTGTTTGTTCTGTAATTTGAGTTAAGCGATATCTGTGAATCTTGTTTGTTCTGTAATTTTAACCGATTGTGTCCTATTCCCGATTTTGACATTTTGACTATTCGCATGTCGGATGATGCGTGCAAAGCCAGTGATGCTTACCCTGAAGACGAACACAGTTCAATTCCATTTAGATTCCATTCAAGTCCCTCAGTTTTTATCTTAAACCTTGATTTGTCTCTTTTATCGATTGACGAGATTTAGAGGTAAATAAACAACTGTTAAATTTAGAATCAACGGACAAAATGCATTTTAATTGCAAAAATAAAAGTTGTTAGCGTTAGAAAGTGAATATGTTATGAACATATATATATTGATTATATGTGAAAGGTGAAATAGCTGCATTTTCAACCACTAATTATATAAACGTATAAAATGTACATAGACAGTTCTAATGTCATCTAACTTGAAATTACCTCATCTAAATATCCTTCGAAGCTGTTATATGGTCCACCTAAACCAAAAGCAAATCCCGACTGCCTTTTATATATGGATCCTGTAAAACAACAATCGTTTTAAAAATATCCCCGTTCGATGCAATATTTATAAAATAAATACATTTAGAAATAAGTGGAGAATGTGTCCATGTGACACAGATGATGCCCCCGCTTGCATATAACGTTATAAAGGAGCATAACTCCAGAACGGTGAAAGTGAAGCCACTCAAATTCGAACTTGATCTGAATTTTGTAGTAATAAGCATTATGTATAAGTTTCATAACATTTGGTTGATGCACACTAAAGTTGGAGAACGGAAACCAATTTCGGGACGTACGTACGGAAGTACGGACGGGACGGACAAGGGTACACCTTAATGGTAGCGGAGGGGGCATAACAAAAAGGATTAGATGATGCTTACCTCAACCTTTATTCAATTAATGATTGTATGGGGTAAGATTCTGAAAACTACGAATGGTACACTTACCATCAAGATGAATAACTTTAGACATCTGATTAACTTCGAATACAACATCGTGTAGAGTGACATGTACTTGTACTGCATTAGTCTGTCCTACCTGAAATGATTTGAAAGCTTTAAGCGCAACGTACTTATTCATTTTGTGGAATTTATAACAGCTAATCCAATTACATAGTACGAAGCCTAACACGCGCGGAAAACTTGTGATGAGTTATTTAAATCTTTTTGAATCACCCTGATTTTAGTGTAACTCTATCATTAGTTTTCAGCGTTACTAGAAATGTTTTTCTAACTGTTGTTTGTCTAGAATGATTTTTATTTTTGCTTTGGTGTTTCTCTTCGTCTTGTCTATTTAGATTGGCCCGTGATATTTCCCGGGCTCTTTTAAAACAAATGAAAAAAATGATTTCCACTGCCTATTGTTGCATGAAATTAAATACACCATAATATACTTTAATGACTGTATAAAAACGTGTAAAATTCATATGTATTAGGGTTTCTAATTTCCTTGCTATGATTGCACCCGTATCATGGAGAGGAAATTAATTATTTATATGTTTAGTCTGCTTAAAACCACCCATACCATGCATTTATAGATCATGTGTAGGTACACATCTGAAAGCTTTAAAACATTTCGTTCCCGATCATATTTTTAGAAATAGAATTATCATCGATTGTATGAAAATAATTTGCTTCTCATATCATATAAAAGCCGTTGCTTCTGGAATATTTTTCAATGAAGTAAAAAAAGAAAAGACTGTGGAGAAGAAACATATATTACCCTGTATGGTATCCATTCACTGACTGTCATTTCAATATTACTAACTGAATTCACCAACAGCCTTATTCCAATGGTTGACTTAGATCTATCTATCAGGAGAGCAAAGCTTGGATCACAAGCTGGTGACGGATAACAATTAGTCAGTACAGATTGGAAATGTGTACCCGAGTTTATGGTTAAGGTAGCAAATTGAAATTCTATCACCAGGTTTCTGCAAGGAAAAGGTAATTAATTGTATATAATATTTGAAAAATATCATAGCTTTGAACGTTGTTTTCAATTTAGACTTGTTTATATTTTATCGTTTGGGCTTGTATTATATTTGCCTTCGGGTTTATATGATCCGTTCATCCTATTTCGACTCTTCAAAATTCAACAGTCTATCCAAAATTGAGGTAAATTATATGGCCTTCCAAGTACCGTTTCGATTCCTAACATCACTGAAGAGACATTAATTGTCGAAATCCGGATATGGTGTACTAATTTTTACACCTTTTGTTTGCTGTATATCATCTTTTCCGCAAGTTTATTGTTTTCTGTTTGGTATTAAATTAATAATTAGATCCATTTTGTTACATCTGGTGATCCGTTTATTTGGCAATCGCCAATGGCAGTCAGCAGGGTTTAAGAACATCCGTTGTTCGACCTGCTAGTCAAATGCGTTTTGTTAAAATTCCTTTTTCATTTTTTTGGTCTTTTTGGAAAATGTTGTTTGTGCTGTATTTAGACCCCTCTACCAAGAAATTTGTTTTGCATGCACTCGTATAAAAATTGCGGTTTTTACACCACCGCAATCATAGGTTTGAACGTTGTTTTCAATTTAGACTTGTTTATATTTTTTAGTTTGGGCTTGTATTATATTTGCCTTCGGGTTTATATGATTCGTTCATCCTCTTTCGACTCGTCAAAATTCAAGAGTCTATCCAAAATTGAGGTAAATTATATGGCCTTCCAAATACCGTTTTGATTCCTAACATCACTGAAGAGACATTGAATGTCGAAATCCGGATATGGTGTTCTAATTTTTGCACCTTTTGTTTGCGGTATATCATCTTTTCCGCAAGTTTATTGTTTAATGTTTGGTATTAAATTAATAATTAGATCCATTTTGTTACATTTGGTGATCCGTGTATTTGGTAATCGCCAATGGCAGTCAGCAGGGTTTAAGAAAATCCGTTGTTCGACCTGCTAGTCAAATGCGTTTTGTTAAAATATACTTTTTCACTTTTTTGGTCTTTTGGAAAATGTTGTTTGTGCTGTATTTAGACCCCTCTACCAAGAAATTTGTTTTGCATGCACACGTATAAAAATTCCGGTTTTTATCCAACGCAATAATAGGTTTGAACGTTGTTTTCAATTTAGACTTGTTTATGTTCGAAAAATATATATATATATTAATATTAGATCATTCATTTTCTATGAACTTAGAGAGAATGGTTTATATATATCTAACCATTAAATAGGAGAATTTTCCATAGCTATTAGTACGATGTATACATATTTTACTCTTTTATTGATGATAATTATCACAGCGACGGGTGTCGCATATCGATCAGGATCTGCTAACCCCTATGGAGCACACGAGATCACTACCGGTCTTTTTGGTGGGGTTCGGGTTGAGCAGTCATCAGTATCTATATTGTGTGTTGTATACTGTTGTTTGTTTTTTGGTCAATTTTTGGGCCATGGCATTGTCAGTTGGTCAATGTTTGGGCCATGGCATTGTCAGTTGGTCAATTTTTTGGCCATGGAATTGTCAGTTGGTCAATTTTTTGGCCATGGAATTGTCAGTTGGTCAATGATTTTTTAGTTTGAATATCCCTTTGGTATTTCCGCCTATATATATATATCTTTTACAGTGAATCCTTTAACACGGACCAAATATGTTCACACCTTACTGCAAATTAAAGATGGCTCTTAGCATCATCGGGTAAGTGTTGAATTTAATACTAGATGTCGATCACGCTACATCTGTGCATTGAAGATCAAAGATTTCCGATCAACAATATATAGACTATACAGAAATTTAACAAATGCTCTCATAAATTGTCAGGAGCCATCACTACAAAAACCAAAAATAACAACAAGGCGCATTTAGATTGTTGTTAGATGATTTAGTAGAAGAATAATGTACGAATAAGGTAAATGAATTGGTTGGACTACCCAACGATGTAAAGATGATACGTAAACAAACCAAAAGGGGAAAAGCGACGTAGTACACACAACAGTTGATATCTTCTAGTGAGGAATAAATACTCCACAACTATTTTAATATAATCGACATAAAGCACCACGAAAGGTACGGCTTTCACACACATCGACAACAAAAGGATAAGGTTTATTTATTCTAAGACGCCAAGGCCTACACGAGTTTGACAACACCAAAACGTAGAAACGTTGTTATAATTGTTATCCATCTCAAAGTCATAGTGAGGTCTTTAATACGTAGAAAAAACACACATCACTCAAAGTTCAAGATAAATCTATATTTTGTATGTATCCTTAAACATATCTATGAAGCCCGACATTTATAATGAGATATCACTGGTTGTTTCCGGAAAAAAAAATCATAACATCATTGAATAATATTTTACTCTGAAGTTTGTCTCAAAATGTATCAATTTATAAGCTTTTAAAAAGTATCTTCTTGATCATATGTACAAAATATAGTACAAAGGTGCAATCGAAATACATGGTTAAAAAGATTACCTGAAGTCTATACTGGCAAATCTCCACAAGTATATGAAACAGTCCTGGTATCCAAACACTGCCTTCCCATCTGGACTATCTGTTATATTTATATTATGACAACTCATAGGGGTCGACATCCCTGATCTATCCATCATACCATTTGGATCATCAGGACTTTTATTGAAAGTCAGGTAAAGATTTGTTGTACATGACTGTGTTTTAGGTGTTGTCGTGGCATCTATAGTTTGATTTTTATTATTGTTGGAACTGTCTGTTTGGACTAAAGTTGAACAACTGCAACTAGATTGTTGGAATGCCGTACCTGGAGCACAATGTCTGGTTATGGTGCCGTGACCGGTAACATGTTCCAGATAAAGTGTGGGATCGTTAGGATCTGGTTTTAAACTGCAAACTGGAAGATTATAAAACTATTTAACTGATTGCAAGACATTTTTTCCTGACCTTTGAAATCGAAAACATATTTTGAACTGAAAGAGCAATTATGATATGGACCAATCTTTTTAGACTAAACTATGAATCACTAGAATCGATATGAAAAGAAAAAGATGTGGTATGACTGCCAATGAGACAACTCTCCACCAGAGACAAAATAACGTAGAAACAAACATCTCATTTATTGTCTAGTTTGCCATATTCAGTGTTCCTATCACGTTACAACTTTATCCAGTACTATTCAGAGTCTTTGCTTTTTTATCAACAGAGATATACGCAGCTCATTTTCAGAAAGATCATTACTTGTACAAAATAATTAAAACTGGTGTGTCTGAAAATTGAATGAACAGTTCTGAAAAATACCGCAAGGAAGAGTTCTGAAAAATACCGCAAGGAAGAAACAGTAACTTTTTATAATGATGCATTTATTGTTGCTTGCTTCAAAAAATACTTTCAGTGGCAAATATTTAATGCATTTCCAGGGCGAATATTTCAAGACATTTCTTTTTATATCATTAGACAAATTTCCTTTAAAACCTAAATGTAATAACTAGTATCCTCTATTAAGATATGCAAGTACATTAATATGATATCATCGCTACGTCAGAATCTATATAAACTCCAGTCGGCAAATCCAGTATGCGATAGCCAACAATGGACACGAGTGTTTTTTTTCTTGTGTAAATGTCCATGGTGATTAGTTAGGTCATTCTCTGAATTCATGCAAAGCAATAAACACCTTCAGATCTAAAACTACATAGCTTAAAACCTTCAGAACGGGATATTGTATGGGAAAAGGATAAAGTATTGCGAACTGCATACTCCTGTGTATCTAAATACAAGCAAATGGGAAGGGGGCGGGCTTCGTGGCCAAGTGGCCTAAGTAGCTCATCTACAGATATCATTAGCCTGTCAACACTGAGGTTGTGAGTTCGAACCCCGCTCGTGGTAGATGCGTATGATTCCCATCTTAATTGACTAGGATTGCCATTTTTTCCTACCGATGGTCGGTGGATCTACTCCGGCTTCCTTCATGTATAAAACAACTGGCCGCTTCGATATAACCAAGTGTACAGAAAGTGGTGTTGAACACCAACAATCAATCAAAATATCCAAATAAACTGCTTTTTGTTTACACACTGTTGTGGCACAACAAAATCCTTTATATACAATACCTTGTAAAGTAGAATTGTAAACAGTGGGTGGGCATTCGGTGTTGCATGCACTAGATTTGCATCCAGAACCGTCCAAATAACCAGTTCCAAGGGGGCAACATACACCTGTAATATCGCCATTCAAACACACCCAGTATCCTCGGCAGTTGTTTTTCATTGGTGAAGTTAATTTGTTCCCACACAGATCTGAATTAAAAAAAATAATAATTCCAAATTATGTCTACCGTAACCACGCAAGTCCTGGTGTATAAACTATCGAAGATTTTCCGTTTTCAGGTGATAGGTTGTTCAACCATGGTAAGAACCGCGGCGGTAAAAGCCGATTATTCATTCAAAGATATCTCAGTTTATGACTAATGTTTTCAAAATATAAACTAACGTTAAACTAAACCACTTCCTTGAAAATTAAAACGTTGTTGATCGTTGTTTAACATATTTAAAATACCTACCAAGTTTGCAGGTTGAGTGTTTGGGTTGCACACAAGTCAAAGCATTTTCGTTATAAAACTGTCCAAATGGACAATTTCTTTCGTGAAACACCTTAACACCGGAAGCATCTTCTGTCTCTATGTACTTGTCACAATCTGTCGGATGTGGAAGAAATTGGCGGTTGACGTCAACAGAGCCTGTAATTAAAATAGCTTGTGAGTGGTTGATACCTTTTATTCTGACATATCTCATAAAATACTATAGTCAAAACAAAGACAAAAAACAGGACATAAACATGTCTGGCGTTTTAAATCATAAGCCTGGTACCTTGAATATAAAAATAAGAAGATGTGGTATGAGTGTCAAAGAGACAATTATCCACCAAAGTTCAAATGAAGTAGATGTAAGCAATAATAGGCAACCGTCCGGCCTTCAACAATGAGAAAAAACATACCGTATAGTCGGCTATAAAAGGCTATAAAATATGAAACCATTCAATTGAGAAAAAAAAACCGGCCTAATTTATATCAAAGCAATTTGATGTCAGCTGTCTTAAATGCCTTCTTATGACCGTCTGGTTGATGCAACTCATTGTTGACGTTTCGTTTCGTCTTATAGGGTATTGCCAACCCGAAAGTCAATGCTTATGTGCTGACACCAAATGTCTTTGAAAGTCATTTCCTATATAAACGTTAAATCATGCAAAAGAAATCATTGAATATACCAGGCTTACAGTTTGTACGCCAGACGCGTTTTTCGTCTACAAAAGACTCATCAATGACGCCCGAATAAAAAAAATTGAATGGTCAGATTAATAAGTTACGACCTTGAAGATCATGAAGATATTTCGTTTCCAAGGCAAAGCAAGCCTCAGCCAGATTTGGCGCAACTTATGTTGAATTTGTGTTTTCAATGCTCTTCGAGTCATACTTGATTATATGTAAACCTTCCAACTGTTTTGTATAAACAACATATTCAGCTTGAGTTCTTTAGCCTTTCAATGAATATATAAGACAAATATCTCTCTATCTAATGCAATGTGTTTGCAGTCAAGAGTTCTAGAAGATCAAACTTATAATTCAAAATGGTCCAAATTAATATTTGGACAACACAATTATTAATTCAATACATATTGGCGTATGACCTTTCTGACAACTCTCTGTTATTTTTTTTTTATTTAATAATTACAATTTTCTGTAAACTATAAAAGTGTGCGACAGCTAAAGAACAACCCTAACTACTAGAACATGACTTACCATCATTAATAACAATGTTACTTGTCGTAGAAGTACCGACTCTATCTGAATAATACATCAATGAAAAGAAAATTGTTAGCTTGCTGAATGTTCCGAATATAAGTCTTACAATTCACAACCCAAAATTCTCTCGTTCCATGCGACCGACGTGTTGGAATCGTTCTGTTTTTGTTATGTATTAACCTGTTCTCGTTCCAATGTTCGTAAGATATTTGCCAATAGACATCAACAAATACAGCAATCATATTTCATAATCATTCATAAAACAAAAGGTTGATCCCCTGAGTTAACCGCTATTGTTATAGTGTCCATATATTGAATTGGTTTTCGTCGCCTTTTCCATATATTAAAAACTATTTGAAGCCCTTAAGCAAGTATGTTATACATTATTTCCGCATAAAATATGCTCTCTCTCTCTCTCTCTCGCTCTCTCTCTCATTATAAAAAAATACCTAAGCATATATATGTCAATTACTAAATAGAGAACTTACCATTAATCTGAGTTCCATCTATTCTGTCTATTGCTGTAAAGAGAATGATTGATCATGGCAACGATACATAGGCCGTATTTAACATGTTTTTGTTACAATCAGGAAAAAGCAACAATTTGTGTAGACATAACATGTCTTGTTTCATATGGAATGAATAGGAAGATATTAATCCTTGAAATTTGCTAGAAATGTATTTGAGTATGTACTAAAAATATTAAATAATATCACTTTTACAAGAAATACATGCTTCATATTGATGTGTGTCATATATATTATATATCTGTAACTTTTGTATTCTTAACATAATGGAACACTAATGGACATGGCTGTGAAAAAAATCAACCCTTTGCCAAGAAAACAGCCGGAAGGTTAACAACGTGATAATGAGGACCAAATAACAGGCTTGATATTCCCAGCATTTCAATAAAGTGAATAAAATACAAATTTACTGTGTGTAACAAAAATAATGTATAAGAAACGACTTTCTTATTTTTCAAATTTTTGTGGTAAAATGCAATTATTGCTGATTTTTTTCCAAGTACATTTATACAGCAATGTAATTAAAAGTGAAGTAAAGCATTGAGGACCCAAATTCCGAAAGGTTTTGCTAAATACAGCTTAGATAATCTATTCATCTATTCCTGGGGTAGAAAATCCTTACTGTATTTTGAATAATTCAAAGTTTATAAACAGTTAATTTATATTAATGAATCAATGCGTCTTTTTGGAATGGTTTTACTGTGACCTGTATCAATATATCTATAATTGCTATATGTTGATAAAATAAGACATTTGAGTACAGGTCAACGAGATACCAACACCCAATATTTGTCTTTGCTTTAAATATAATATAAGCATGAAAAGCTTTATGATAAATATTTTTTTATTGATGACTCGACTGCAAATGCAATAAAACTTGCGAACTAAACCACGTTTTAAGGGGTCTATTAAGGATGTATTCTTCTGATGTTTCAGTCTCGTTGAAATCTCTTTCGGGAACTATTTCCAAAGCTTGTGATACAAGTAGAAAAAAATCAATGAATTTTAAAAATATTATAATCAAACTAAACAGTGTGAAAAAAATGTGTACTTGTGATAAGTAGTTTTTGAGTAATAAAATTTTCAAATTTTAGTGACATCAGCCAAAATGTTGAGAAAATGGGTGAGGAACACAAAGAAACGATTTTACCAAAAATATGTACATCCCATATCATTTTTTCTTAAGAAAGAAGTTGAAATAATATATTTTTTTGTTCTAAATAAAAGAGAAAAATCCCAAGTTAACAAAATTGACAGCATGGTCAATTTGACACGAAAAAGCTACAAAATTTTATAAAAGTTTCTAATAATATTAACACCAACCTATAGTTTTTTTTAGGTTAAATTTATTCAGATTGGTCCACTTCATCTTTAGTGAAAGTATGAAAAGAAGTTTCATTGTGAAACTGTAATTTTTGTTCATGTAAAGCCCAAAAATGGGTAAAAATTGATGAAAAATGGGAAAATCATTAAAATTGGGAACTTTCAAATGGCCGTAGCAAAATAAAAAGTGCACCACCAAGTCAGGTAAGAGCAAGCTAAAGAAGTAAAACCAAGCTTTCAATCGGTACAATTTTGGGGGAAAATTACCTGGTTAATATTTTTTTTCACTACAAAATCATCGGAAAACAGTAAACTTTCCCCTCAAATTACACCGATTATATGTTTGATTTTACTTATTTTGGTTGCTCTTACTTGACCGAGTACCATGATGTCCAAGGTAACCAGTCGACAAATTATATAACTCGGAGTCAAAAGTCGGTAATATGAAAATAGTCTATTGGTCATATTAATAGTATGAATGTTTATGAAGGGGCATCATCCCAGACAAACACAGAAATGATTGCGGAGGGCAAGCATTGTGAAACAGACTACGATCGACTGTAACGCTCTCTAAAGTTTATAGGAACGATCAACTAAGACAAACAGTAAAAGAATTGTTAAATAATATGTTATTCTAATGAATGATGACTTACCTAAATCTTCGGATGTAGTACTTTTATAAGTTGTTGTTGTTGTTCCAACATTTACTAAAGCAAAAACAAATCAAATTAAAGAAAAAGTCTTACTCAGTTTCATGCAGTACCTTGCTTAAACATTGGAATGTTACTATTGTCCGAATTAAAAGCACAATGATTGTAAACAGGCTTTCTATACCGAAAGTAGTGCCATTATGCCCCATTTTAAACTGTTAAAAAATCAAATTTATGTTGATGAAAAATTTAATAAAAAATGCAATCATTTCACAACAGTATTTATAATGCTATAAGGCAAAACAAAAGAGGAATTGAAGGACTACTCCAATACTTGTTTGGTTTATGACTAGCAATAAAAACAGTCTGATTTCACTTTTTACTAATCTGATTAAACTCGGATATTTCACTCTGCTCTCTGGATTTGTTTGTCGGAATTACAGGTCTATCGGTACAGAGTGAAAGATCTAATTTGATCAGATTATCTTTTTATCGAAACTTCTGTCTATTCTACGTGTTTATATGTGTACAATGCTGAATAAGTCCATCTGGTATAACACATCATGTAATATGACATTCACCTGTTTTTGAACGCCTGATGGGTCAGGTATAATGAACTGCCACAAAAAAAAGAAATATTCACATTACCGTTTCTTCAATATGGACGCGGAGAAACAGGAGACTTTATTTTTACTAGTAGACAAATAAAGCAAACATTTATTTGTGTACCGGTGATGTGTGCAATAGAAGGTTGATTACAGGATAAATATATAAATAAATATATATTAGACAATAACTGTTTAGTGTCTTTAGATATCAGCTGTATTTGTACGAGGCTCAGAAACAGTTGTAATGCTATTACTCCTGTTTCGAGCCGAGTTATTGTCTTTATCCTGCAATTAAATTTGTACATTTTTTCCCATCCCAATCGTTGAATTTGTTTTTGAAAGAAATCGACATGACTTAAAAAATTAGGACCCCAAATTGGACTGTGACGTAAACAGTATTTTGATATAACCGTTCGCCCGCAACAGAAGCAGGATACCAGAAGACTATATACGTCTAGTATACGTGTATCGCTTCGTGTTAACTGTAGACCTGTATTAGTATAGTAGAAAGGTCGATTGCAGGATAAATATATATATATATACAAGTCTAAATTGAAAACAACGTTCAAACCTATGATTGCGTTGGATAAAAACCGCAATTTTTATACGTGTGCATGCAAAACAAATTTCTTGGTAGAGGGGTCAAAATACAGCACTAACAACATTTTACAAAAGACCAAAAGAGTGAAAAAGTATATTTTAACAAAACGCATTTGACTAGCAGGTCGAACATCGGATGTTCTTAAACACTGCTGACTGCCATGGCGATTGCCAAATAAACAGATCACCAGAGGTAACAAAATGGATCTTAATTATTAATTTAATAGCAAAAAGAAAACAATATTTATATGTATATATCAATTTTGTACTTACAGTTACATATCTCCGTTGCTAGATTTGTGGGTAATGCGCTATAGTCTGGCACCTCTTTCACATAATCCAGTTGGCTGGCAATAAACACTAACTCTGTTTTAAATACGTGTTGACCAATACCTAAGGCAAACATTTGTATTCCTTCCTCGTGTGCCCTCATTGATTCAATTTTTGTATAATTAGGACTGACAGACAAGCCATCAGTGATACAAACTGCTACCTTGGTTGCGCCAGGCCTTGGTGATCTATTAAACATACCACGCATCAGTGTTATTGCTTTATGTGTTGAAGTTCCATAGTTAGACATTTGTATGCTCAAAATGGCGGCCGACAATGCGTCAAGTGTATCATATTGTCCTAGTTCTATTTTGGTTCCAATGAATGTACCGAATTCTACTATCCCAACTCTCGTATGTGTTGGGTTAATTTCAAATGTGGATATTAAATTGACGGTGTAGTTTTTAACTAGATCGAAATTAGGTTTGGTAACACTTTGTGATCCATCTAATAGGAATATCAAATCCAATTCATTCTTACAATTGGTGGGTGGTACTGAAAATAAAATATTCAACAGATTAATAAATATCAAAAGAATTACAACTTCTGACATAATTTTGCGATCAAGTTTAGGAAACGACTGTACCAGTTGCAACAGCTATTACAAGTATACAATAAACATTCCCCATCTAAGCAAATTTTAAACCTGTTGATACTTAAAACAACAATAATCGTCTACGCTTCCTACAGATGATGTTTTCAGCATAGCATATTTCTATAATACATAGAACGATTTTCAAGTTGTATAACCATTAACTTCGTTGTAAAGCAGATTTATCATAAACATATAAACATGTTGTTGGCATGACACGGGTTATGTTCTTCTCATATATTTTATGACGGTATAATACTAAACCCCTAACAAGAGGGATTGTGCCTGATATTCATATGATGAAGACATATTAATCTTTCAATCAGTTTAATTGAGGTCTGGAGCTGGCATGTCAGTAACTGCTAGTAGTCTGTTGTTATTTATGTATTATTGTCATTTTTTTTATTTTCTTTTGTTTCCTATTCTGACATCGGACTCGGACTTCTCTTATACTGAGTTTTACTGTGCGTACTGTTGTGCGTTTGTTTTTACTACATTGGCTAGAGGTATAGGGGGAGGGTTGAGATCTCAAAAAACATGTTTTACCCCGCCGCATTTTTGCGCCTGTCCCTAGTCAGGAGCCTCTGGCCTTTGTTAGTCTTGTATCATTTTTAATTTTAGTTTCCTGTGTATAATTTGGAGTTTAGTATGACGTCCATTATCACTGAACTAGTATACATATTTGTTTAGGGGCCAGCTGAAGGACGCCTCCGGGTGCGGGAGTTTCTCGCTGCATTGAAGACCCATTGGTGGCCTTCGGCTGTTGTCTGCTCTATGGTCGGGTCGTTGTCTCTTTGACACATTCCCAATTTCCATTCTCAATTTTATGTAGGTTCTATAATTTTTTTTGTGTTTTGTTTCATTTTGAATTTATTTGAATTATGTGTTTTATTCATTTTTCATTATTACTGTTAATTCAGAGAACAATTTGACCTTTAAAACATGACTGTGATATTTATAAAAAAAGCATTCGGACTAACGATCAGGAAATTTACATAATGATGACAGGCGTACTAAGCATACATGTCCAAGACATACCCAGATGTCGATATCGTCGATATCGTCGATATCGACAATGTCGACACGATATCCGATCGATAACATAACATAACCAGATGACACTCATAACATAACCAGATGTAGATTTTAATGACTACACTAATAACAAAACCTGATGTCGATATCGATGATGACTTAAGATAATGAATCAAAATAAGACATATCAAGCTGATTAAATTAAGACCGATTATGAAGATTGATATAGGGATAGACGATGGCTGAATTGTAACCTATTTATTTTTTTAAAAAGACAGAAAGGTGGTCACTTCTCCAAATTACTGTTACAGTATCCTTTAAAAACAAATTAAATAATGTATTCTTCAAATTTATTAGTTGAAATTAGATTTTAACTTGATTTGAATAGTTTCGAGTACTCTTAGACCGGTACTTTGTGATTTTGTCTATTTGTTGTTGTTCTTCGTGCAAATTTGATAAGTCAAGCCTTTTCCTACTGAATTTGTGGTATTGATGCTACACCACCGTCCTAGATTTAACGGAAGGATTAACGCTCAAGTTTAATCCCGCCACATCCTCAATGTGACTGACCCTTCTCGGGAGCTTTTTGATCAAGTGGTTGTGGTCGTTTACTGTCAGTCATATTTGATGTTTGTTTATCATTTATACATAAATCAGAATGTTTGTTTTACCATTTTAAATATTAGACATTTTGTCATGCCGGTATTATTGTTAATCTATTTTGAAGACTTTGAGGTGACATATATTTCCTTCAGCCTGAGACAAAATGAGTTGAACTTTCAACTTCGTCTGGACCTTCATGTTGTATAAGTCTACATTTAGTATACATAGTATTCATTTATTAAAAGAAATGCTTGGCCAATCGATGTACAGATTATTCGTTATGATTAGGTAGTCGATTATCTTTTTAATTTAAATGGGTCGAAAAATATTGTTTTCATCCTCGGAGAAATAGATCTTTCAAAGCATCTACACGATATAATACAATAATAATAGATAATGAAGTCAATTTGATACAGCATAAAACATGAATCGCATACTTATGTCTCGTCTTTGGCGTTCAAAATCAAATTGGAAATGATAAAAAAGAGGAGCTACACGAACCCACCAATAACTAGGGCGATCTAAGGAAGGGTAAATGTTGGAGTGCAATAAACCCATAATAAAAACAAGGAAACCAACATAACTTTAAGAGCTTGCTTGCATCAGGAGGGTAAAATATAATATCTTGACAGTTTAACAAATGTCATATAGTTTTGTCTACTGAAAATATCTCAACAGCACTGTCTACCGTGCTCAGCCTAGTGATAATTTTCTTCAGGGACTTTTAGTTTACTTCATTGAAATTATATACACCTGACAATTTTTGATTTAAATTTCCTCACACAATCAGGTATTTGGCAGCTTGTTATTCTTGTGCCATAATTGTATGTACATGATCAAGCTTTGATTTTAAGAAAATGAATTCCCGATAAAAATAAATCAGTGTTCTTAAATTAAGAAGATAATCGCCTATATATAGCACATAAACCACAACAAACTGACTATAAAGATTGTTATTTATGATACCAAAATATAACTTTTGATGTGTACATTTGTACACTCATGCGAACGTCCGAGAAGCCAGAGGCAAGATCACAACATCGACGTTATTAAATTGTTTGATCCAATGAGGTCAATATTGTTTTTAGACATACATCTTTTTCAATCTAAGGTAAACAATGTTTGAAGGCAAACTAACTGTCAGTAACGGCGAGTACTCTCAGATCTGTAATTCGTGTCTTTTGTGTTGTGATGGATATGTAAATATCCTGCCACGTCCGGTCTCTGTTTTTGTTTAATGTTTTCTGTGTTGTGTCGGTCTGACGAGTTAAGCCCTTTTTCAACTGATGTTTATAGTTTATTTTTATGTTGTACTGTAACACCACTGTCCCAGGTTATGTGGAGGGTTGCTGCCTTCAAACATGTTTAACCCCGCCACTCTTTATGTGCCTGTCCCAAGTCAGGAGCCTATAGTTCAGTGGTTGTCGTTGGTTCTTGTCTGTCATATTTGTTTTTCGTACATTATTTTGTTATAAAGTAGGCCGTTAGTTTTCTCAATTGAATAGTTTCATTTTTTTCATGTCGGGGCCTGTAATAGCCGAATATACGGTATGGGTGTTTCGTATTGTTGAAGGCCGTACGGTTGCCTATATTTGCTTTACATCCACTTGATTTGAACTTTCAATTGGTGGATAGTTGTCTCATTGGCAATCATACCACATTTCCTTGTTATATCACATATATCAAAACCAGTGGCGGATCCAGAAATTTTTATAAGTGGGGGCCCACTGACTGCCTAAGAGGGGCCCGCTCTAGTCATGCTTCAGTGATTCTCTATATAATCAACCAAATTTTTCGATCATAGTCGTTATCAGCTTGCAACAAAATTACTCGTCCCGGAAATAATCCCATGAATATTAACGTTGTCAGACATTCCGAATCATATACCGAAACTGCATTATGGATAGCTATATTGAGCAAAAAACTATGATTTCACACAATGCCACACTCTTTAGTTTTTAAAAATTTGCAAAAGTGTCTTTGTTTAGTATTTTGTTTCATTGTCTTTTCTTTTTATACTTTAATATCAGTAAGGCATTGTCTTAAAAAGTTGCTTAAGCGTTATTGTGCAATTTAATGAAAAAAAAAACTCACCCATTAAGCCAAGATATCGGTACCATGATCGACCTTTAGAAATACCCAAATAATGCTAAAAACATCAAGCGTGTCTGTACCCTTGATTGAGAACTATGCTTTTCAAAAGCATAATCAAAAGAGTTTATTATTTTTTTATTTGTGCTTTTTAACACACATGTTGATGTATGAGATCACTTCATTTTCCATGATTTTTAATCGCTCGCTGCGCTCACCATTAGGAATAGATTTTTTAAAATCATATTTGCACTCCATTTTAGTCTAACTTGCGTGATGATGCTTGATATTGCTTTTTAAATGAAACATATCATGTCCTGAGCAGTTTATATTACATGCATTTCTATCAAATAATCTGTTATTCTTTAAATGAACATAAACAAAGCTTACCAGTTTGAGGAATGCTAATATCAACTTGAAACATAAATAGGAAGGTAAATATAATCGTAATAAGCATTGTTCATTTCTGTGTGTCTGTGGGAAATCTACAAATACGAAATGTTAAATTATATATAACAACATAGTTTAGGGGTTGTAATTGTGAATATGTCTCTTTTCATGTGTGTATGTCTGTGTTGTCTTGATCTTCTGTATAATTGACCATTTTAATTACGATACTCTATTTTACATGATTGCACGGTTGCTTCGGTATGTTTGTGACCTCTATTTGATTTAGTAAACCAGACTAAAAATTACACAGAAAAGACACAGCATGAAGCTGATGGGTACCGTATGTGGAGCAGGATCTGCTTACCATTCCGGAGTACCTGCGATCACCCCAGGTTTATGGGTGGGGTTCGTGTTGCTCAGTCTTTAGTTTTCTATGTTGTATTTTGTGAACTGTTGTTTGTCTTTTCGTCGTTTTTTCGTTTTTTTTT